TAAAATCATTGATAAATGTTGTGCAAGATTTATTTTTCATGATGACAATCAAGGTAAAAGGCTTCTTCTTATATCTTGGAGGAACACTTGCCTTTCCAAGAAGAATAGAGGTCTTAGTCCTCCTTGGATTGCTGCTTTAATTTATGCCTTTTCATCTTCTTTGTTTTAGAGATGCCTTTCTTCTAATTCCCTCCTTAGTCGCTGGTTCAAAACAGTTATATGTTATTTTGGCAACTTATTTATGGTAAAGCTTCTGCTTAATGGAAACACTTGGTTAAAGTCGATATTTCTATTAAAAGGAATATTTTTTACAAGATTGGGAATGACAATGCCATTACTCTTTGGTGGGATCCTTGGTGTAATGATAATTCTATGGTTGATTTATGTCATGGTTTTATTATTGACTTACCTACAAATGTTATTGTAGATGTTGTTATTTTTAATAGAGTTTGGGTTGTTCCTAATGCGTCGATCCTGCAAAATGAATAGATTTAAGTATTTTTTTTATTTATATTAAAACAGGTTGAATATTATAATTAAAACTTGTTTATTTAAGATTTTTATTTTAATTGATAATTAAAATAAACTAGTTAAGTAATAATTAATTAAAATATACTATAAAATTATTAATGAATTAAATGTGTTTAGTTTAAATTTTTTTATTTAAACTATCTTTTAACAGAAAATAAAATTATCAAAATAAAATTAAATAAACCAACTAAATTAATTAAAAAGTTTTAAAAAATAAATAACAATTTAAATAATAATTTTTAATTTAAATCCTTATACTTAAATTAAGGAAAAAATTAATATTATTTTTAGTCATTTTTTAAAAATCATTTAAATAGTTATAATTTTAATCAATTTAATAAAAAAAATTTAAAATTTCGCCGGAAAACTTGAAAAGCCGCCGGAAAATTTCGCCGGTAATAAGTGATTTGCCTGTAGTATGTTTGGTCACCCTCCCTAAATAACTCTATCTCTGATGGGAGGGATCTCCCTCTTTGAAAAAATATGGAAAATCCTAATTTTTAAAACTTTATTAATAATTTTTATAAATCTAATGATGAGGCTAACTAGTATAAATATATTTAGCATAAAAGGTTTTGTTTGAGGTTCTCTTCTTTTCTTGACTTGCTTTGGTTGGTGAGCTTAAACCTGCTGATCAACCTAAGATTAGAGGCATTCTTGCTAGCCCAATTTATCCTCTTTATAACTATAAAGATGAATATGTCTCCCATTTATTTTATGAATGTGATTTCACTTTTACCATTTTAAATACTATTTTTCTTAGATCTAGAATTTTTCTATTAAGAACTAGTATTTGTCAAGTTTTTAATTGCATTTTTGGGGACCACAAGTTAGCTCATATCTCAAAAAAGTTTTACTAATTGGTCATTTGTGCTTCCATCTACTATATTTGGAGAGAAAGGAATTGTAGAAGTATGAGGTCTCTCACTCTTGTATTAATATTATATCAACTATGCTAAGGAAAGTAATTAGAGCTAAGTTTAGTAGTTATAAATATTTTGAAAGATGCACAAGCTTATTATTCTAATTTTATTCTGATTTTTTTTTATTTGTTAATCTCTGCTGATGCATTCTTCCTTCTTTGATGCTTTGTGTTACATGAGGGATTATCTGTTGATTTTGCTGGGGAAAATTCATGACATATCCTTTTTCTTGAGTTTATTCTTCATGTATTGGATAATTGCTTGGATGCTTCGATTTGGCTCTATTTCCTCCTCTACCTTACTGCTGGGTGTTTCTCTTGGTTCTCATCTTGTCTAGATGATGATGTTGGATCCTTCCTTCATCCCCTGGATGGTTGCGGGCTTTGTTATGGCAACCTTGAAGGTTGACTTGGGTTCTATGATTGTTGTTGTGTCGGTTTTGGCTATTCTGTAAATGTCATGTTCTTAGGCTATTTGGAATATGCTAGGGGTGCTCTTTTGGCTCCCAAGTGGTTTATTGTAGGGGTGTCAAAATGGGTTAACATATCAGGTTTGGGTCCAACCCGAGTTGACTCAGGTTCAAACATATTGACCCTAACTCGACCCGATTTTATAAATATGTTAGGATTTCTAACCTGAATTCACCCGCATGGGTTTCTGGGTTGACCTGACCCGACCTGCGAACCTGAGGTCGAACGCAAGGGCATCATAGCACGATGTGGGAGGCTAAGTCCGGTCGAGTTGCATATGCATGCTCCGTGCTACATTACTGGCTATTGGAGGTGAGCACATCGAAGCCGAAGTGGGATCAGATGTGAAGCCGTTTGGCCAACCCGCCAAGGTGTGCGGGACTGTGGGTGCAGGATGATCAACAGTTGGAGTGGGAGTGCAGGACATCATATCCGAGTTGATTTCGGGTTGTCAAGTCAACCCAAAACTAACCCGATTTTACAAACGGGTCCAAATCTTAAACCCGAATTTGACCCATATGGTAAATGAGTTGAACCGAAGCAAGAATTTTCCAGATTAACATGATGGATTATTATGGGTTAATTTTTTGGTTTGATGTTTCAATTAGTACCTATGACCAATTTTGTGACTGCCTCCAATAGATGGCCCTTTGCCTTGGCAACAAGGGGGATTACTATATGTTGGGCTTTTTTACAGGAAGGTGTTGCTTACTCTGTGAGTCATGTGGGCCTTGTTCATTTGTTTGTTGTTTTTCTATTGATTATGCCTTTTTAAGGCCATTTTTAAAACATATTTTCCCTTAGGTGTTTTTTGTTGGCGCTTTTTAATTTTTTTTTCGTCACTCTTGAGGCTTCCTTTGCAATTCCTCTTTCATTTTAATGAAAGTGGGGCTTGTCCCGATATTCCAATGCCCCTCCAGAAAAAGGAATTTTTTCATACATAACACTTCAAACTATTGTAAATATATATTCAACAACCAAACTTCTATATTTACTAATATACCACATAAAACTCCCAATTTCATATATTCTAACACTCCGTCACAATCCCTCGTCAAAAATCACTATCAGCGACTATATTCCCCATCATTGACATCCTTTCATAGTGAATACAAGTATCTCATCACTTCAATGGCATCCTTTCGCAGTGTGAGCTCGAGCAGTAGCCTGGAGCCGGAGAATTTAAGTATCGTTATCAAGAAGGCTGGGAGGTGGACTCACAAGCTCTTTGAGCAACTCTCCTAGCCATCATTACAATGCCTCAAGGTTACAGTAGAAGGGTCATATAGCCCTAGACCCATCAATTTCCTCGAGCAGCAGCTTTCATCCCGAAAGTACATTATTTTACTGATTCGCCTTAATTCATTTGCTTTGCATCTATGATTCTCTGATACTTATAAGTGGGGGCTGGCGGCGGTAGGAATCACCCCCTTTATATAAATAATCCGAGAATTATCCCACTATAGTGCCATTCTGGCCACTAAAATGCCAACCATCCTCCTAATCTCTACCTTCAAAACCACAATAGATCTCACCATGCTCGACCTTCTCCTACCAATATCAAATGCCACAACCACCACCCTTCTCCCAGCTCCAGCTCTAGCTCCAAGTCATGGCCTTTCTTACAAGGGAACGACAACAAGGTCCTCTACTGATGGCAAACGGTGACGCCGAAGCCAAGAAGCTCATATACTTTAATCCCAACCCCTCTTACATAGCCATTGCTCTGGTCCAACAGCTGGCTCTGGCTTGTCGTCGTCATCTTGTCTTCATTCCTAATCTTAAGAGTAAGCTGCTCTCTTTCCTAAACTACAGAAGTAGGCCAGGGAAGACATCAGACACGCTTTAGATAGCACAAAATGCCAAGAAGAAAAACCAGAGGGAGGAGAAGAAATACAAAGTGGAAGAGAACAATTCCAATAAAATAGCATGTTAAATTATTCTACAACCATATCTATCTCGCACTCTCTTATTTTGTGGCCACTGAAAAGATTCAGCGCATGACCGCCATGGAGAAGGCAACGGATTTGGACGGGGAAGACACTTGTTCGCACGAACAAAAATAAGACCATTGAGGCGGGAAATGTTAGAATTGATTGAAAGAGTAATTTTAAGTGGTATATTAGTAAATATAATAGTTTGAGTGTTGAATATGTATTTTAAATAATTTTAAGTGTTATGTGTGTAAAAATCCCCCAAAAAAAACACTTATATTATTTCAGATGGTCCTTATTTTCCTATTTCCTTTTATGATATTTTATAAGATTTGTTTAGGAGAACTTTCTTGTTGGTTTATTTTTCAAACAATACTCATAATTTTATCTGACAACTATTTTTTTAATGCTTTCTCATCAATATATATATATATAGGGAATGCTCCAGCTAGATCCTAATATTAATGTTTGTAAATTTAATATTAATGTTTTGGTGTTAGATATGTAAATAGCATAAAATAAAATGGTATGTATGTAAATTTCCCAATTTATTTTCTCTATAATAACTATACAAATAACTTAATAAAATTTACAACGGTCTTAAAGACTCATAGATTTTGGACATATCAACAAAATTTCAGCACGATAATCCAATATCAAGAAAAAAATAAATAAATAAACAAAAAGGAAATCATAATTGTAAACAACTAATATAGAAACAGAAAATATATAAAGGTAATAAAGCAACTAATTAATAAATTTCAGCATCAATAAAAGTGCGGTTTAAACAAAAATTCTTACAGAGAAATAATATTTTTTAGCTTCTCGAGCTCTCTTGGAATGGGTCCAGACATCAAATTACTTCTCAAATCCCTATTAATAATATTATAATAAAATTAATAACCATCAAGAAATTAATGCAGCACATATTAACTCTATGTCTATTTGAATAATTTTTTTTTTATTTTATTTTTTAAATAGTAATTATAATTTTATTTGACAGAAAATTATATGACTAAAAATTTATTTTACAATCAGAATAAATAAATTATTTTCACATTCAACTTCATAAAATACTCTAACTATTTGTTTTTTTTTTTTGGAAAATATTTTTTGTATTTTAAATAAAATGATTTTCCCACTTACAGGAACCGCAGTGATGATAAGTTTCCTATAAAAGCCGGAATTGGACCGGTCAAGTCGTTCCCCCCTAAAATCCTACAAAAAAAAAAGTAATTAATGAATCTTTTTCAAATAAACAGTACATTTTATGATAAATATTCCGAATAAAAATAAATATTTAAATTATTAAATTTATTTTAAGACGAAGATAATATATCAAAATTTAAATTATATTTATTCAAAAATAAATTTAATAATTTTTAAATTATCATAACAAAAAATTAGAAGAACACCACTATGCTTATTTTTTTAATTAAGCTATAAATTGACGAGAAGAAAAAGCTTACAGATCCGTAAGATAAGTGAGGTTGCTAATCTCTTCAGGGAATGGTCCGGCTAGATCCTGATATTGCACCCTTCTGTGTAACGAATTAAATTTTCCAAAAAAAAAAAAAAATCAAACATTTACAAAGTATGTTAAATATATATATCAAACTCATTATTTTCTAACATCACTAATTTTTTGTTGTTAAAAAAAATTAATACTAAAAAAAAAATCTTAAGATTTGTATGGGACGGCTATATAAAGATTATTATAAAATTATTATTTGACAAATAATCTTTTGACAGTGGCTTTAAAAATTAGATTTGTATTATAAAAATTTGTTGAAAGTAATGAGAAAATAATAATAAAATAGAACTGTAGCTATAATCTAAAAAATAAAATAGTAAGAAAGTTGTTCTAAATAAATTTTAAATATAATTAAAATTAGTGATAAATAAATTTTACATAATTACAATATGAGCTAAATGTTGGGATTTTTAAATTAATAAATTAAATTTGAAATTAATTGTATAGTTTTTATTAATATAATTGAATTTTAAAACACAAGCTTGATTAATTAATTTATTATAAAATTGATGAAAAGTATATTCAGAGAGAGAGAGAGAGAGAGAGAGAGAGAGAGAGTTTGGGAGAGGTACAATATGGTAATGTGGCAGACAGAGCCATTGTGAAAGGTGCAATCGCATTTAATGCTGGGATTGAGCTGGCCGGTATTGGTGCCGTTAATGGCGACGCCGCTACATAGCTCGCCGCTGATATTCCACAGCGATGATTCCGTCTTTCCCCACCGACCGAGTATCGTGTTCACTGCTTGTGCTGCCACGTCGATTCAATAATTAGTGGTCATCATGCATACATCCATGCATATATATTTACATGCATTCTTAATTTCTCGGCTATTTTTATTTAATTTTTAAGTGAATCAAGAATGAAATTAAAAAAAAAAAAACAGAGAGAAAAGATGAAATACATCAGAATTTAACATTCAAAAAATCGAAAATGAAAAAAATAATCACAAAACAGCACCACACAAAAAAATGCACTGTAAAAAATGGAAGAAAATTGTATGGATCTTCACTGATATTAAAGTGTCCTATGAATTACATCCCTTCATAATGAATAAACCTCTTAAAAAAGTTATAATTTTTTTTTGACGCAACTAGTAACGTTTCAACATTGACTTCTCTATCTCGCAACACCGTAGCGCTAAACCACAAAGTTGAGGCTCATAGTGTTGTGGCACTAGAACAACAACACTACAGCGTTTTGCTCTTTGTCTTAGAAGGGTTCCATGACAATGTATTGCTCTACAAAAAAAAAAATCTCAGAGGAGATATCTAGAAACATTTATTCTGAATATTTTCCACTTTGAGCATCAAATTCATCACTTTATTTCTTCATTTCATACACTAGTTGAGAAATGGATGAGTTTTATCAAATTTTTCCCAAGTTCCTTCTTGTTGCGAGCAAAAATAATTGTGATGATAGAGTGAGCGAATTTTTCATCTTAGCGATGCACGGATATCCAATACACAAAAAGATGATTATATATATATCTTTTTTTAATGCGAAAAATCCGAAGAGGAAAAAGCCACCGGGCTTATCCCAAGTGAAAAAAATTCACTAACTTTGAGTAAATACAAATATACAATGGTTGATCTGTCCATTAATTTAGAGATGATGAGATTATAATTGTTTGGAGAGTTGGGTGAAAGTTTAGCGGTGGCTAGGCAGAAGTTTGAGGGCATTGAGGTGGAAGTCTGACGAATGGGCGGTGATTGGATAATGGTCGGACGAGAGTCCAGCACCCGGGCGGTGGTCCGGCCATGGTTGGGTGGAAGTCCGGTAGTGGTCAGGAGGAAGTTCGGCAGCTGTCCAGCAATGGTCGACTGTCAGGCGGTGGTCCAACGATGGTTTGGGGTTAGTCGACAGCAAGGTGGAAGTCTGGCATCGGTCGGCGATCGGGTGGTGGTTCAATAATGGGTTGGAAAAATTCCTATTGTGGTTGGCGTTGAGTGGAAGTTTGGTGGCTGTCTGTGGTGGAGCGTTAGTCCAATGATTGTCGAGCAGAATTCCAGCATCGTTTAGTGACCGAGCATTGGCTTGATGATTGTCGGGGCAGTGTTTTGATGATGGTCGGGTGGAAGTCCGGTGGTGGTTAGCAGCCGACGGATGTTCGCCAGTAGTGGTGTTGGAGCTCTTGAAGCTTCAAATCTCTCTCAAACCACCATCCCAAGGCCCCTTTCATGTTAAGAGTGGGGGTATATTTATATATTTTCATGAGTGACACTCTATGTAAATATTGAGAAGATCTAGGGCTGGTTCGAAGTGCACGAATTGATTCCCCTAATTGTATGGCTTTTTTTCAAGTGTTTATGTGCCTTAAAGATGTCGGAATTAAGGGATCTTGGCCTTGTTTGATTCGTCTTGTTGAGCCGCTTGATTCGATTATAAGCATGTCATACTTCGGTATGATTTGGTCATTCAATTATTGCTTTGAATCTTTCAAATACGCTTCACACTCTTGATTTGGACTCATTTTGGGCTCGGACCGTACATATTTTGCTATTGTTGGGTTCGTCTCCTTGAGATGTTCAATTTGACTATAAGTTTGCTAAAATTGGAGTTTGGATTAAAAAAAAAATAAAAAAAAAAATTGGAGTTTGGATTATCCCAATTTTAATTTTGGAAGTTTTGAACATGGATATGCCTCGAGATTCGCATCCAATCGAGACAATTTTTTATGCTGTACCACTTCTAAATTATATTTTTAAAGTAAATTTCTATAAAATTCCTGAAATGGTCGAAGATATTGTCCAAATTTATAAACAACCCTAAAAAATATATTATATTTATTATTTAATTAACATTTATAAAAAATACATATATATTTAAAATTTTAAATACATAGAATTAATAAGATTAATAACTAAGCTAAGGACTTCATACCATCTTCAAAACCTTCATTTATAGAATTTAAGGATTTGTTTGAGATGGTTGAAGAGTTTTATAAAATTAATTGTGAAATTGCTGAGAGAAAAATAACTTAATTATTTTGATCATTGTTGTGGGCTAGAATATACGCAATAGTATAGTGAGAGTGTTTTTCTTCTTACCTTTGCACGAATATTCAGCACAAGAAAAAAAAAGAAAAAAAAAAGAAAAAGATAAAACACAAAAGATTTTTACATCAAAACCCTAGAAAATGGAAAAAATCACAAGGCATCGCCCAATTCAAATGATTCCACTAATATTTGAATAATTTATAAAACTTTATCTGTACTGTAATTTGAAGATGGTGAAATTACGATAATAGAGAGAGTTAGGTGGAAGTTTGGTGTCAGTTAGTGGCGAGCAGGAGTCCGGTGACAGTTGGTGGTCGTACGGAAGTCCGACATCGGTCGGTGGCCGAGCAGAAGTCTGGTGACGGTCGGTGGCTGGGAGGAAGTCTGGTGACGGTCGGTGGTCCAATGGTGATCGAGGAGGAGCTTGCTGGAAAGAGATATCTCAGATGTCTCTTCCTCCTCCTTTTCTTTCCTCCCCTTTTTTGAGAAGAATAATTGTCTATTTATAATTTTTGGGGAGTGACATGACTAGTAAATAAGGAGAATATGAAGGGCATGCATGTTGGGAGTGTTTTGGATGCATGACTTATATTGATTCCTTTGATCGTATACATTTTAGCACTTGAGTGCCTTAATATTGTTAAAATTCGGCAATCTTGGGATTGTTGGATTTGTCTCGTCGAGCCTCTCGATTCCACTATAAGCATGTCACATTTGGAAATTATTTACTTGTCTAGATTATGCTTTAAACCCTATAAACGTGCTTCGGGCCCTTTACTTTGACACATTTGTGTCCAAATCAGATCGAATTCGGTATTGTTGGATTCGTCTTTGAAGATGCTCAGTTCGACTATAAGTTTGTTGAAATCAGAGTTAGTTCAGATGGTTCCTAAATTAATTTCAGAAATTTTAAATTTAAATTTGCCTCAAAATTCATGTCTGATCAAGATAATTTTTTTATGATATATCAATCATAAAAAATATTTTTTCATTTAAATTTTTTTGAAAAATAATAATAAGCGAGCAGAAAATAAATAAGTCAACAGCTTTAAAATTCATCCGACTTGAAAATTTATCCTAAATAAAAGTATTGTGATTTGAACCACGGTCTGATCTGGTTCACAATAACATGAACAGTCAGCTAAAGTTTAAAGCAAACATTCAAGTCAAAGGCAGACAGTCATGCATTTTGCCCCCTGTGAACAATATTTTTTAGATTTACATACATACCTTAAAAATTTTATCATTTATATATCTAATATTTTTATGATTTATACATCTAATATTTAATTTTATTTATTTATTTATATAACTTTTTAGCATCGAAATAATAATAATAAAAATATGTATTGATACGTCATGCAAAAATTATCTTGATCGGGCACGAATCTCGAGGCAAAAATCAAGGTGGAAACTTCAAAAATTTAATTCGGGAGCATCTGAACTCCGATTTCAACAAACTTACAGTCAAACTGAGCGTCTCGGAAATACGAACGCAACGACACCAAATTTGACTCACGCAACGACACCAAATTTGACTCAATCCGAGCCCAAATGAGTCCAAATCAAGGACCTAAAGCGCTGTTGGAAGGTTCTAACCACAATTTGAGTTACCAAACGGTCTCCGATTTTGGCGAGCTTATAGTCGAATCGAACGGCTCGACGAGACGAATCCAACGAGCCTAAGATCGCCAGATTCCAACATCACTAAGGCCTTCAAATGGCTGACGAACGGTGTATGATCAAAGGATTCAATATCAGCCGTCCATTCAACCACTCCCTGTTCGCCCATGATCTCACACATATTTACAAGCCATGCCACTCCAAAAAACTATAAATAGAGCCCTCATTCTTCACAAGAGGGACTCAAGTGAAGAGAGATAAGAAGAAGAGAAGAAGAGGAGAAAAGGGAAAAGGAGAATCCTCTCATCCTCGACCACAGCCAGAGTTCGTCCTACCACCCGAACACGTCGGGATTCTGCGTGATATTCGGGAGAATGCAGGAATTCTACCCAACTTCCACGTGATGCTGAAATTCTTCTTAATTTACAACAGAGTTCCCTCATGACGCCGAAACTCCGCCCAAGTGAAATCGGAGTTCTCCTCTGCCACCAACAGACGCCGGACTTCTACCCGATGTCAAACCTTCACTCTTCGCCAAGTTTCTACCCGATGCCGGGCTTCTTCCGTTTATCGGACTTCGCTGGATGTCTATTGAAAGATGGATTTCTTTCCTTTATTGGACTTCCACCTGACGTCGTCCTTCTGATCTTCGTCGTCAGACAACAGTTCTTCTGACCTCCGTCGCCAGCCGACTACAGTCCTCCTTACTTACGTCACCCGCCGACTACAATCTTTTCGACATCCTTCACCCGTCGACTACGGTCCTCCTGACTTATGTCACCCGCCGACTACAGTCTTTCCGACCTCTGTTGCCCACCGACTACGGTCCTCTTGACTTACATCGTCAGCAAATACAGTCTTTCCGACCTCTGTCGCCCGCAGACTACAGTCTTCCTGACTTACGTCGCCCGCCGACTACAGTCCTTCCGACCTCCGTTGCCAACCTACTACGATCCTCCTGACATACGTCGCCCACCGACTACAAGTCTTCCGACCTCCATCGCCCTCCGACTATGATCTTTCCGACCAAACAAACATGTTAACAATGACTCTTTGTATTAACATCATGTAATGTACTCTATAAGATGTACATCAAGCTAAGACCTTCCACCAAGGAAGGATCTCATTTGTAATCAACTACAATACTAGTGGATTCATTCAAACTAGGCTAGACCCCGTGGGTTTTTCCCCCTTTCAGGGGTTTTCCACATAAAAATCTTGGTGTCTCATAAATGTTAGACCCTCTCTCTTTATCTGATTGCGTGCCAGATTTTCGTACAACGCTAAGACGTTAAATCTTATATTTCTCTACCGTCGCGAATACTCCTGGACCCAACATGTATATATATCAGTATTCATTTTAACTTATTAATAATTATTGATGCGATTTAAAAATTTAAATTTTATAATTAAATATAATGGTCTAAATATTTTATCTGTAAATAAATAAAAAATTTGTGATATGAATGTAAATCCTCCTTATTTATTTTATTAAAAAAGCATGCTAAAATGGCCATGCAACTCAAATTTTACGAATTTTTATTTTGTATTTTTTTGGGTTCCATCAATTATAAATCATAAATAATAGCATTCTCAACTTCATTCATCTAATCCTAATTAACTAGGCTCTCTACAACTAATAATCATTGAAGATTCTTAATCTTCAAACTTAATTAAGAGCAATATTTGCATATAGGTATGACATGAAAAGCTAGTTCTCACTGAGCTATTTGGTTTCAAAAAATATAACTATAAAAATTTTCAAATAAAAGGGTTTTGAGAATATTAATATTTAGTTTGAAGTAAACTAAAAAGATTATAAAATTTATGTATATAAAATACACAGTCTAATACAAATTTTTTGTATATTTTGAATATTGTGGATTTAGTTTATTTCAAATTCATCATCTTTGCCACCATCAGTCGACCAAACAACCTCTTAAAGTATATATTTGAGAATTGAAACATTTTTTAAAATTTTTATTTTACAAATCAGTATCATAATTCTATTTTATTACAATTTTATGTTATATTTTAAAAATTTTTATGAGGGGAATGAACATTTTACCTAAGTGATAATTATAAAAATATTACTATCCGAATTAAAAGAAGAAGAAGAAGAAGAAGCAAAACTCACAATAATTTTTAGAAACCATATTGTTCCCGCAACTGCATCACAGCTAATTTTTGCAAGCAGAAAGGCAACCTTAATTTACAGAAATCTTCTGATAATTAATAATTTATTCTTTTTAATCACCTGTTTATCCTTTGCTTTTATGTTGGAACTGAAGCTTTGTGAAAATTAACAAAGAGAAAAATAGAAGATAGATAGTTAAAGCGACGGCGTACCTTCAATAGGATCAGTCTTTGCTGCAACAGAAGATTCAGATCTGCATCTCTCGCAGAAGAGGAAGAAGAAGCACAGAAGGAAGCAGAAGAAGAAGCAGCAGCGGCCTGAGATTAGATGACGAAGCTGAGAGATTAAAAATTTTGATGAAGCCATTTCTATTTCTTTCTGAAGAGGAAGAAAGAGACAGAATATTATCATAATTCTATTTTATTACAATTTTATGTTATATTTTAAAAATTTTTTATGAGGGGAATGAACATTTTACCTAAGTGATAATTATATATAAAAATATTACTATCCGAATTAAAAAGAAGAAGAAGAAGAAGAAGAAGAAGAAGAAGCAAAACTCACAATAATTTTCAGAAACCATATAATTCCCGCAACTGCATCACAGCTAATTTTTGCAAGCAGAAAGGCAACCTTAATTTACAGAAATCTTCTGATAATTAATAATTTATTCTTTTTAATCACCTGTTTATCCTTTGCTTTTATGTTGGAACTGAAGCTTTGTGAAAATTAACAAAGAGAAAAATAGAAGATAGATAGTTAAAGCGACGGCGTACCTTCAATAGGATCAGTCTTTGCTGCAACAGAAGATTCAGATCTGCATCTCTCGCAGAAGAGGAAGAAGAAGCACAGAAGGAAGCAGAAGAAGAAGCAGCAGCGGCCTGAGATTAGATGACGAAGCTGAGAGATTAAAAATTTTGATGAAGCCATTTCTATTTCTTTCTGAAGAGGAATAAAGAGAGAGAATATTTGATCTAATTTTGCTGAAGGATATAAGGAAATGTATCATATATGCTCTGCTCTGAGAAGTATAGAGAAGACCAAGTTTAAGTCATCTATAGGACCTTCCATGAGGAAAGCTAGCAGAAGTTTGGGGAACATGACTTTGACTTTTCTATATTATATATATTAGGGATTCAAAATGGGCGAAATCATTAATATGAAATTATTAGTTTGGCAAAATTTTGAGAAGTGTGCGTAAATAAATTTTTTAGCAGTATGAGCACTGACAGTTCTTTTTTTTTTTTATAGAAAATGCCAAAACTAGCAGTGCGTTTTTCTTCTCTTTTTGAGTGTTTTTTTTATTTTTTATTTAGAAAGCGTCCATCTCCATGCTCAAATGACTTTGCACATGAAGTCTATTTTGAAAATGACTTGACTCGTCAATTCAATGCCGATCCGATTTAAAAAATTTGAATTCTAGTTAACTCATTTAACAAATGGTTCGAATTTAGATCACACATTTTGATTTGTTTCGTAAACAGATTAGGTTAATAAAAATATATAGATTTAATTAAAATGAGATATCTAGTATGATCTAAGTCCGTCTTTTTGATCCATTTATTAAATAAGAGAGTTTAGATTGATCGGATTTAAAGCGGATTAATTTTATATTGGAAGCGAACCTAACTCGCTAACCAGTTTTGACATCTCACTTGCAAATCAAATATAATTCCTTCAAGTAGAGGCGGAATCAGCCTCTTTTTTAGAAATAATTTTTATGCGAGGTATCCGGACGGGAAGAATTTTTCAGACTTTGAATGTTCACACCGTGCGTACATAGTGTCTACACTGATTTGACATATACATTATGTATAAATATGTACAAAATATGTTCACTCACATATCTAAACGATTCTTTCCGTTCAGATACCGCACAAAAAATGTGTAAATCAAGATAAGAACATATGTAATCACACAAGATAGACAATTACCACCCGGAAGCTCTACTAGGTTTGTCTCTGTCACCAAATTAATGATTGTTGGAAGATGTCATATCTACCATCCACATTTTCCACAATATCTCTCAATTGAATGTGACAACAAAAATAACAAATTAATGAAAATTAATGAAAGAGACATTCGAAATATAAATTTGTAAATGTGCGTTAAGAAAAAAAAATACTCATTTAATAAATGGTTCGAATTTAGGTCACACATTTTGATTTGTTTAGTAAACAGGCTAGCTTAATAATATATATTTAGGGTGATTTTAATAATTAAAATGAGATATCTAGTATGATTTGAGTCCACCTTTTTTACCCATTTATTAAATGGGTTTCTGGTTGCTGCATTTTGGAGCGCGTTGGGTGGCTTTGTTTTGGCTTCAAATTTGGCTCCTAACATTATTGTAGTGGTTTTTTATGGTGGAATGGACAATGATGAGGAGGCTCCTGCTTCCCCTCTGTGGCTAAGCTGGTTGGCAACCTGGGTACCTCGACATTGGTTGGTAGGCGTTTGATTACTTCTAACTATGGATGGTCCGTGCTTTGCTACTAGGCTGGTGCTGGGGGCCTTCATCTTGAGTCCCCCCTTTACTTATTTTGACGTCTTAGATCTTTTGACTGTTTATTTCCTTTGTTATTGTATCTGGTCACTGTAATCCTTACCTTTATTTTAATTAAAAAAAAAAAAAGTTTTGGCATCTCACTTGCAAATCAAATATAATTCCTTCAAGTAGAGGCATAATAAGCCTCTTTTTTAGAAGAAATTTTATGTGAGGCATCCGGACGGGAAGAACTGTCCGGACTGTGAATGTTCACACAATGTGTATATAGAGTGTGTGTACTGATTTGACATACATTATGTATAAATATGTACAAAATGTGTTCACTCATATATCCGAACGATACTATCCGTCTGAATGCGGCACTAAAAATGTGTTCACACAAGACTAGATAGACAATTACCACCCGTAAGCTCTACATGGGTTTGTCTCTGTCACTAAATTAATGATTGTTGGAAGATGTCTTATCTACCATCCACATTTTCCACAATATCACTACATTGAATGTGACAACAAAAATAACAAATTAATGAAAATCAATGAAAGAGCCATTCGAAATATAAATTTGTAAATGTGCGTTAAGAAAAAAAAATGAAGGTTACTTTGTTAAATCCACCATCTCGCTGCTTAAGAAAAAAGTGTTGCCAAAATTCAATGAAATTAATTAATTTGAGCTATTTCTTACTTTATTATTTAAATAGAACACCTTTTGACTCAAAATGAATGATCCTCATTTACTTTTTTTTTTTGTTTATTTCATGTTCAAGGCCAATGTTAATTATCATTAATTCTTGTTTATTAAAATAGAGTAAACTAATTATTGTACTTGCTTATTTTTTTAAATATTAAAATTATTAATATCTTATTAAAAGATTAAAATATAGAGATTTTATAATTATATCACATATTTTCAAAGTTAAAACAACATAGATTTTGGTTGAGACAATTTTCTTAAAAATAATTATAAAACAATGACTAAAAGAAGGAAATCTTAGATTTCATTTGGGACAATTTTCTTACTGTTTTCTAAGCCGGCTTTTTAACACACAAATTTCTAATTCAAGATTTTTTTTTATTAAAAAGTTGTTTTAGAAAACATTAAGAAAGCTATCTTAAATGAAATCATAGGTTTCGTTTGGGACGACTTTCTTACTGCTTATTAAAGTAGCTTTCTAATATAAAAATTAAAATTTTTGTAATAAAAAGCTACTTTAAGAAGCAATAAAAAAGTCATCCCAAACAAAACCTTAATATTTTAAAACACTAGTTTGATATACAAATATTTCTTCAGCTATAGGAGTCAACTAAATTTCAAAACTATTACCTTACAAACAAATTTAAATGCCGCTTAAATTTTCATCCACAACAAATCTTGGCCATTCATTTTATTTATTCTAAAATTATCTTGTCTCTTCATTGTATTATAGATATTTAATAAATTTAAAAATATATAATAATTATGAAAATTAATGTTCGTTACATGCACCACATACTAAATTAATTTTTATTCCTCTCAAGGACCCGCTTGTGTTTCCCTCCGTTGAATTTCATTTAACCTATTAATGTTTCGTTTAAGTGTCAGTTACCTAATATCGCCTATTTCTTATAGGATTCGCAATTTTCTTCATCTTCCATCTTGACTCTTCGGCTTGCCCTAACTTCTTCCGCTCACTCGTGTTGTCCTGTAGGTTTCTCTCTCCAAATGTTTCGGTCTCCTAAACTTCTTTAACATTTCTTCTTACAGGGATTTAGGCTACTCGCATGTTTCTTTCTCCAATTATTTCAGTGTTTTGAACTTCTAAAACATTTCTTCAATCAGGTTCATTTCTCCAATTATTTCGGTCTCCTAAACTTCTTTTATGTTTTTTCACTCTTTCGAAAATGTACTCAAGCATCCAAACCTTTTAATAAACGGTTCACTTCTCCGTAAGATAAAGATAAGGGTTGATTCTATTACCTTTCTCCATAATATATAATTGCTAAAACTATTGTCACATGTTTTTTTTCTTCCTTTAGATCTTTCATGATTTGTATTTCTTTTATGGAGCTCAACAACCTCGACTTCAAAGGATCTGTACTGATTCGGTTTCAACCGAAATTTATTTTAGAGGTATGCCAACTCCCAGAACAACTAATTGAGCTTATGAAATTTAATGTTTTTCTAGAACTCCCAAATAAATTAGTTCTGACAATTGAAATTTAGTTTTAATAATATTATGCCTCTCCCCTTTTAGAAGGAAGGCACATACTTTTCATTATTTTCATTTTCTTGTGTAAGTATTATTTCTAGTATTTTCTTTCTCTGTTGTGGTACCTATTTTTCTTTTTTGGATTGTCTTGCATGATGGGTTTTGGTCAAGCAAGATTGTTTCTTTTTGAAATATTCTGTGGGTTCTATGAGATGGAAGTGAAAATTAAAGGGAGATTTCTGATGGGTTATCAAGTGTGTTATGCTCTTATTCAAGAAAAATTATTGTTCACTTTGTAGAATGAGTTTTTAACTTATCTTATTCCAGAATTTTCTATTGAAGTGTAGGCCAACGTTCAGCTGTACTGCATGAAATTTAGGCTCATAAAGAGAAATATTTATAGGGCAAAATTAGGGTGCCGAAAAACTAGCGGAATTCCAAAAATCATCAGATTGATTGTTATGACCTATTAACATCGTTTTGAATTTCACTGTGATTTTGATTGTTGAGCTTTTATAACTCTAATGTTTTAATGAGATTTATTTTAAAATATAATCAAATAACGGTAGAATATAATATCACCCATAATTACCAAAGCCAGGCTAAAGCCCAACCTCTCCCACTCTTAGACATCTTATATCCGTTGCATAGCTTAATATTAAATTACATTGAACAAC